GGGCGTACACCCCACCCCCTACAAAGCACAACTGCGCCTGCCCCGCAAATCACACCGGCAGAGCGGCGGAGACCCAGCGACGCCAGGGCTGCGTGCGGATTATTCCGGTTGGTTGATTGCCTCGAAGCTTACACAACGCCTCAGCACCTTCGGTGCGGGCGGATTTTCGCTTTAGCTTCGTGGAGATGTATAACAGAGAGTCGAAGAAGCCCTTAAGCCGTATCCTTTTGCATCCTGTTTGAGGGCCGCCTCACACCAAAAGAGGCATCTTTTAGTAAGTGGGTGCTATCTTGTGAGCCCTTGTGGAAAGACACAGTGGATCTAGATGCAGGGAGTCGGAGTTTCTTGGCCCTTTTGCTTTGTTTGAGGGCCGTCTCGGGGCAAGAAAGTGCACAAATTAAAAAGTTGACTCTAGCACCAAGTTCCCCTAGAAAAGACCTCAAGGATGAATTTTTGTTGGTGTCCTTTTGTGTTTGGCTTAGACAACAAAAGAGGGCGCCTCCGAAAAGCGGGTTTTAGCGATAGGACGTTGGACAAAGAAGGGCAGGGCAGATGCATCTCCGCGCTCTTTACATGAATCGTGCAAACGATGGTTTGTGCGGAGTGTTGGAGACTCTACACTGTTTGTTGGACGTTTTTGCGTGAAGCGCGTTGCTCTAAGCGTGTGCGACGGCTGGCTTTCGTCCCCTCACTTCTCAAGTCACTCTAGTCTTTGTCTTCAAATAGAATTTTGTCGCAGGAAGTGCATCAAGGGCAGTGCCAAGATGCACCCTGCCGTGGAACATTAATTGAAGGGTGGGGTTACTCTATGAACTACGATTTTTTGTCGATTACTTTTCTCCGAAATTACTGGCAAACATGTATGAGGTGGGTGCCAATTAATTTTCAATCTTTTATTCAAACAACCTGGATGAATTACTTTGTGTCGGGGAGGTTCCGAGGGTTTGCTACACAAACCCCTCCAAACTACTTTTCGAATCCAGTGTGGGTTGAGAAGAGAACCCACCTTCAATTAGTATTGAACAAAAAAACCGTGATCAAGATTCTATAAAGAACATGGGGGTTCCCTTAACTTGTTATTTAGGGGTGCATATAACAGCTAGGAATAATTTGCTTAACAAACGATCATGCGAGTCAGGAAAATAATTTGATGTATGATGACACTGCGCAGATTAAATAATGGTGGTGGGACATGGTGGTGGTCTAAAGCAGGGGGCATATGCCAAGGACCCAAGTCTTCCTGCACGCTTCTGGGAACCGTGAGGCGGGTACGTGCTGCCCTCGGACGAGGACAACCCAGCGCGGCTGGATGCAGTGCTCGCGACCTCTAGGGCTTTTGGGAACTTTCGCTTCAAAGATGTGAGCCATTCACCAGGACCGAGATGTCATCTCTGAGGCGTCGAAATGTTTTCAGTCTTCTTTTTGCCCCAAGATGGAAACTGTTGGAGTCGAGATAGCGGGTTGATTTGATCGATTCGGGAGAGTAAGGATCGGGAAACACAGCAATAAGTAGCGAGGACTGAGACAAGGTATTCTTTGCGTTTCAGATCCAAATGGAGGATTGCAATATGTGGGGAATTGGGTCCAAATAAGTACTCATGCTGAAAAGATTGAGATGGTTGAAACATGTTGAAACTATTTGTTTTCAGTCAATTGAAAGCAACACATGCACAACGTTGAGATGGAGCGTATTTTAGAGTATTTTAATATTTGCGCATTGTGGACATTATTCCTTTCTTGTTCCCAAGGTGTAATTTACAGATGGTTTGTTGAATGGTTTTCTCCTTCGTCGCGGGCGTGTGACACTTGCGACGTAGACTTAGACGACAACAGGTGCTTTTTCGTCCCACATCCCAAACCTCAGGAACCCGGAAAGTGAGTCCTGTGCCCGACGTGACGGTCTTGGACGCGAGGGCAGGAGACGTGATCGTGTTCCGTGGCCGGAGACCAGCCAGGGGGGGGCCTGAAGCCAGGTTTCGGGTGAAGCACATGTGGTTAGACCTTGCGTTTGTATGTTTGTGGTTGATCATTCTCCCCGGTTTTCATGGTTTCTGGTTTTTTAGGAGCTGGAGTTGGTATTTGTTGTCACAGGAATGATCTTTTGGCTTGGCCACTTTGGGGACACCTGTGATGACTTAATCACCAGCCCTGAGGATTTTGTAGGGACAACAAAAGCTTTATCACGGTCAACATCCACATCGAAGAAGTTTGAATCAATCACCAAACGCATAATATCCACACACAGTACATGTATTGCACAATGTATTGAATCTGAATGTGATTGAATCGAAGAATGAAAAGAAGGTACTAGGGGCTCCTGGCATAGCTACTAGGAGCAAGGACGCTACTAGGGGCTCCTGGCCGTACTACTAGGAACAAGAAGCTACTAGTAGCAAAGGGCATGAACTCTTGCCGTTTTCTGTCAGATGAGGTTGGCCACCGACGGTGTGCTGGATGTTCTCAGCAGCTCCCAGGCGGGACTTTCAAGACGAACAGGTCTGCGACGCAAGGCCGACTCTCCTCACTGAGGGAAGCTATAACGATACATGATACATGTGAATATATCGACTGTATATAACTTATAACTGTATATATATACACATAACATGCTGAGAGTCAAAGACTATAAAAACATTGTCTTTAGGACTTTAGGTTACCTGAAAGGGAACATCCTTTACGTCACTGCGGCAAAATCTAGTCTTTCGACTTCTATGGTAGATACTGTATATACATACAACATATCTCTAGACTAGAGGAATCCTAAAGATCCATCAAGTGCACGTCCTCATTCTTTCCTGTTCCCTTCCTGTTCGTCCAACATCTGGATCCATGGGCTTTGGCCAGGTCGCCAACTTTGCTGTGCGGGGCCTGGCTGCAGGTGCTAAACTGGAGCAGTTGTGGTATTTCAATTTGAGGCGTTTGTACTGAACTCTTCGTTTTCATCTTGTTCCAGTGGTTGGAAGACACAGTAGGTTCACTTGTCCGAAAACCCCCTTGCCCTTTCCAGGATCCCTGAACATGCATCTGTGGGTGCGGCAAAGTTGGGAGGTGACTTCACTGTATAGTTGGTTGGTATCAGTGCGAGTTGTCGCGCAGGCAACTCATAGGGCTGGCTCGTCAGACGCTTTTTTCATTTTAAAGCTTTCATACACGGTTATATGTCCGTCCAATAGGAATGGTTGCAATATGTTGCAGTTGTTGCGCTTCATTCCAAACATCACGAATAGCAGGCAAGCCGACCACTGCTATATAGTTGTCCTTCTGTAGCAATAATATGTACACAAGCCCCTATGCCTTGTGGAACAATGTAGAAGTTGCAGGCGAGGAAACTTCACTCGTGTGGAGGAAAACGTTTCTACAGCTTGAAATTCACCTTTCTTTAATATTGGAATGATCCCAAATTTCACAGAGGTGTGACACATGTCAATGTTGTCAAAGTTTCAGAGAGCAGCAACTACATAATATCTCTGACATGTAGCCAGCCAGCTTGCCGCTGGCCACCAGGTGCTGTGGAGGCGGCCGCGGACGTTGTTTGGGAGGCCTTGCAGGCACAAACGCAGGAGGGGCTCTTCAGTGGGGCTGGGCTTTGCAGGAGTGGTACCGTAACCTGGGTTGGTCACTTCATGGTGCTCAGGATGAAATCCGGAGAGGTGAAATCGGGTGGACAGTGTATTGTCTCCGTGACCTGGCCGAGCCAATTGTTCGAAAAGCTGCCTTTACTGTTTCTGTTGAGCATTGGCCGGATCAGAAGACAAACATGTGTGGGCCAGGTGCAAAATCATGTGAGTTTTCACACTCTCTACTGGAGCCAGTGGCATGTTCTTTCTTTGGACGGATACTGTATCCATTGTCCATTGTCAAGGATAAATCATCAGATAGGAAGAACTTGCCAACGCTCTAGCCCAAGAATCAACGAAGCGTGCTCATGCTCAGCATTGATGCGAATAAGTCCGTCAGATCATCATGATCATGAATGCTCATTGCAACTGGCCATGCAGCCATGTACACACAGTTTATACAACTGAAACAACACACGCAACTAACCTTAAGTTTTCCTAAACATCTAAGAACCAAATGAATAGTGCGAGCGCTTCTTCCATTAAGCTCCCCCCCGCCTTTAGGGTGGCGTGGGGAGCTTCCTTGAAGAAGCGTGAGCTATCCTTCGTCCATACATTAAGCTACTAGCTACCTAGCTACTACTAGCTACCTCTATTCTACTAGCTACTACCTCCCTCTTAGCGGCCTACCCCCCCGCAAAAACACTTAAAACGTTTTGTACGTTCGTGAAACATGTGCGTTCTCTTTGGATCCGCTATGCAGGACAATGTGACTTGTGCAGTCATTCGTCTCGGCTCCTGACGTGCTGCTTGTTTCAGCTTGTTTTGGGCATCATCAAGTCTCCCTGCCAAAACGGCGAGGATTGGGACTTGTGTGAGCGGGCTTGTCAGGTCTGAGGCAGTTGTGAAAAACATATGCAACCCTACAATGGGTTGCATGTCTGGATCGTTCAGCTAGTGCTCGTTTCTGATCCAATCTTCTGTTTGTCTTCAGAAGGGCTCCTCCTCTACAGCAAGAATCTCAGCGAGACCGAAACTGCCATGCAAAGACAAATGACATGGTCCAAGTGACAGTTCGACATGATGGCAGGGCCGACGTGAGAGCAAAGCCTGCGTTAAGATGGGCACTGCTCCGTTGAGCGGAGGTGAAAAGGTTTTTTGTACGGGGAGTTGGATGTAATGTAGATGGTCGTGCAGCTAGGGAGCCCAGGTTGTGTGTTTCCATGGTTTGCCTGAATCAAGAGAGTTAAATTCACTGAGGGTGACGATGAGCATGAACAAAGTCGATGTCCAACAAATCGCAATGTTTGCTTTTGAACCTTTCCGGATGCAGGAGTTTGCTTTCATCCTTCCTTCTGAAAACGCCGATCAAAGCGTTCTAAAGACCCCTTTTCCCCAGAATGACCCCGCTTTGCGGCCACCAGTCCCTCGGAGTCGCTGCAGGCGGCTCCGTTGCCAGAAAGAGCTGGGCGACATCTTGTCCGAGATGATCCGTGATGGGAAGGCCGAGTTCGTAGCTTCCGAACGTCCGGAGCTCGTCCGGAGCTACACGACTCGCTGTTTTTAACGAACCGACGCAACGACATGATGTTAAGCTGTGGAGCAGGCCATTTGGAGCCATTCTCTGATTTGTTGAGATAACTACAGAAGCCCCATATTCTTAGCGGCTAGCTGCTAGACTGCTTCGTCCATGCCTTGCTGTTCCTGGCCGTCCCACAGCCAGTCGATGGAGGTCCCAAAGGAGGACCTGTCCTTCGAAGTCTTGCAAGAGCTTTGTGGGATGACACTGGACTGGAGGACAGATCCGGCCGACCATAGTAGGCCTGGTCTACAGTCTATCGGTTGATTATATAATAGGATACTCTCAAGTCTACAGCCACTAGGATAAAAATAGATCCCTCTATTGTTCCCAAAGGACATGATTGGGGCCGACTTTGCTGAGATGCTTCAAGCGCGGTGTCACCATGTTCGGAGTTTTCCTCAGTTTTTGGATTCGCAGATCAATATGCATGGATCTCAAAGAGCACGCACAGCAGGACCTGTGGGGAGAAGCTCACAAAGGACGCCGCCAAACTGTGCGAGGTGGGCAGGATCTGACGTCTCTCAGAGTTGGCTAGAGATTCCAACAGGAAAGACTGGAGACTCGAGACACACCTGTTACAGTGGTGAAAGACAGATGACCAGCACAAGGCGTGCTGGATCGAAATCCTCTGTTGCAACAAACAGGGGCCGAGACCAAATCCTTTGTGGTTGTGGTTGGCTTTTGGTGGCCACCTGACACCCGTTCGCAAGTTGCAAATCTGCACTTCCTTGTCCTTCAATATTCCATCCCGCTGCATGAACCGGGTGCTTTTGACGCATATCTCGACTTGAACATCGCCCATCAAGCTGCACCATCGGCCATCAATGTTGTTTCATGATTCATGACATGACAAGTGCTCCACTGAGATGATGGGTTCTATGCTCTCATGGGACCATGGGAGGATGCTTGGTGACCCATTGAACCTTGATGTTTCGAACAAATCCTCGGCACAAGCGCTGGTTTCTGCATCCGCATTGCAGGGGAAGAGCTTGGAAAGCTTGTTGCCATTGCTAAAGTCATCAGTCAAGGCAGGGCCAATAATTCACACTAGCCTGTGTTTGGCCTTGATGTCTTTAGTCTGTTTGCTTGTCACTTCCGAACTCACACATGCGGGATGACTACTGACTACTGCTTGTATTAGGTTGTCCTATGCCATACCAAAGATTTCTCACTTCTGATTTGCGGGCACCATACTTTACAGCAGGCAAATAACGCATCTCTCTCTCTCTCTGTTGTAAAATTCAGCAGCTGTTTTGTTTGTCGTTTGTTTGTGCACGTCTCTGTATTGTTTTCCCCTCTGGCAATTGTCCTTAGGCTCAAGCTAAGCTCAAGGCCTTTGATCCAAGGTGCATTGTATAGCACCATGCAATTGTACATCAACACTACGATGGAGTAAGTAAGCTATTGTGAAAAAGCTTGTCTCTTAACACCGTCCCTTGGTTTGATTCATTGTTGAATCACACCATCAATACAAACATTGTTGAAACAGTAAAGGAACATTATTGTACAAAGCAGTTCAAACATTGTTAGCAAGTCTGTACAGCTTTTCTGCCATTGTCTCTCCAGCATTGTTGCCCTTCTCATCGTGGTGCTCGTGGGCATTTGTTGCCAGAGACTTGCAGCTTGTACAGCCATTGTTCTACTCTTGCGACTCTTCCATCTGGTCGCTGGTCGATTGTCGAGGGCGTTTTGTGCCCTTTCTCCTCTTCTTCATCTTCTGACCTTTCCATATTGTTCTCATTGTATAGGACTGCTCGGTCCTCCCACAAGGAGATTGTCGAGTTTGTCGAAAGTCGACGCTGATTGTGGTAGTCTGGAATCGTCATCTCCATGGCCATTGTTGCCCTTGAAATTGTTCTCGAGAAAGTCGATCCCGATCGTCAGCGCTCGTGTGCCGGGAAGCGGCTGCGGTCAAAAGGATTGTTGACAAATTGTCAACTGAACATGCATTGTCTTCCAAATTCAGAAAGCAAAACTTCAAACACATTGTTCATCGAATTGTTCTACGAGTCGACGACAGAAAGATTGGATCCATTGTGAGACTGAAATCTTGTAGTACATATTGTCTATGACATAGTATGCACATAGTAGCTAAAGTAGTGTGCCATGGCTTGATGCCGCCGTGTATGTGGGAGTTGATCGAAAACCCCATGTAAGGAGTTATATATAAAACAGCCTTTCAGATGTTGTTAGAACCATCCGCGACAGATTCGCGAGGAGGCTCGCGAAAGTATCTTTTTTTTTCCGCGGAAGATTTATCGAAGGTCATCGCTTTCATTGTTTGCCTTTCTACCGGACTGACAAAGAATAGAAACGCAAGGCAATCCTGCGGCAGAGCCAGTGGGCGGAAGTGTCCCCATATGTCACAGACTAACGAACTGAAGCCTCAACATTTCCGTGCCGAGCCCTGGCAGTGCGTAAAGGATTCTCCGATTCCTGTCCCCACTGTCACAGGCTAGCAATCTGGGTAGGCACAGCCCTGACAGTGAGGCAACGACCTGCAGCTGCTCTGACGGGCTGCGCAGATGTTTGCAAATGTTACGGCTTCCCGGGGAAAGCGCCAGTGAAATTTCGCGAAAGATCCACGAAAGTTTCGCGAATGTGCCGCTAAAGTCTAGGTTCCCAGCTTGAGGCCCCCCCCCAACATTCCCCAAGCTGTATCACCCTGTGTTGGTAGCTGGCACGAGGATTGGGTTGAGTTGTGCCTGACTCTATTTGGCGCAATTGTATTCAACCATCTACTGGGGTCATGCTGCAAGATGTCTCTCCCTATTTTGTGATACTATGACATGTTCCGGCTCATGTTGGCTAGACATGGTTGTAGGACCATGCTTTGCGATGAGGCCGCGAAAGATCCGCGAAAGATATCTTTTTTTCCGCGATGAATGGCCATTCCAGGATGAAAGAATATTGACCAACCACCATGTATTGTACACGCGTGGATGCTGCCATGGTTGTGAAACTGTTTGTGCGATCGCAGTTCAGTTGTGGTGTTGTGGGCATTGAATGCCCGCCATGTAGAGATGTTTGTTAAGCACCTCTGCCGGGACATACTTTGTCAGTATGTCTGCTGGGTTGTCGTGTGTGCTGATCTTGTGTATTGACAGTACCCCGCTTTGTACCAGTTGTTGTATGAAGAGGTACTTCAGGTCAATGTGCTTTGCTTTCTTTGACGAGCCAATTCTTGTTGCAATGCTTTTGCCGCTTGTGCTGTCTGTGTGTATGCGAATGTTCACCTTTGTTGTTGTGGCTTCCTTTATGAAATTTGCTATATGTAGTCCTTCTTGTGCTCCTGTTCCTATTGCATATAGTTCTGACTCTGCTGATGATAATGCTACTACTGCTTGTGTTCTGCTTCCAAATTGTACCACGGATCCCATCATTGTCACGATGAATCCACTTGTTGATTTTCTTGTGCTTGGGCATCCTGCCCAGTCCGCATCGACATAAATGTTGAGGTCGATGGGTTCCTTTGTCTGTGGTGTATGTGTTGTCCTCAGGATCATCTTGTAGTGTTGTGTTCCCCTGAGGTATCGTAGGAGGTGCTTCACCTTGCGAATGCTTTGCTGTGTTGGTTGTTGTAGATCTCGTGCTAGTTCTTTTGTTGCAAAGCTGATGTCTGGTCTTGCGTCGGTCAGCCATTGTAGCTTTCCTACTGCTCTCCTGTAGTCTGCATGTTCTTGTGCATCTAGAGGTGCATCATCGTTTGTGGACTGTTTCAGGGTTGCCGTCCCTGGAGTTGATGCTGGATTGCTTGCTTCCATCTTTGTTTCCTTCAGCAATGTAGTGATGTATTCTGGTTTGAGGCTCACCTCAAAGAAGTCTCCATTGTTGTGGATGTCTCTGCCAAGGAATTGGATTGTCTGACCAATTCCCAATGTACCGGTTGGCCGTCGACTTCTTGTTGTTGTCCTAGGAATAGTAAGTCATCCACATAGACCATCACAAACATTGTCTGTTCATTGTTCCTGTACACGTTGGGTTCACTTGTGAGTCGAGACAGTCCCAATTGTTGCAGGACTTGTGCAAAGTGATCTTGCCAAGATTTTGGACTTGATCGTAGTCCATAGATTGCTTTGTTGAGCTTCCACACTGTGGTTGTGTTGTGACCACTTGGGTATAGTTCTGGTGGTGGCCACATGTAAAGATTGTCCGTCGCTGCTGGTGCATGTAGGAATGCTGTTGACACGTCTCCTGCTTGTATCGTCCAGTGGTTGTGCTGTGCCATTGTCAGTAGGATGCGCAAGATCCCAAAGATCGGTGTGCTCGCATAGATGTTGTCAAGGTCTTGGATTGTTTCCAGGAAACCTTTTGCTACTATGCGACATCTCACTTCCTCTTGTTTGGGTTTGTTGACCCACTTGGATTCTATGATCTTGTTCTTGTGTTCTTCTGGGGCATCATTGTAGTTCATCTCTGTGAACACTCCTTGTGTCTTCATCGATTGTGCTTCTTTCTTCATTCCTTGTTGTACTTTCAATGGATCAAGACCTTCATTGTCGTAGACGAAGGGTTCTTGTAGCATCCTTTCCACTTCTGCTTCTTGTTCATCTTCGCAGGATGCTGTGGTGATCTTGTCACCTTTCTTTGTGGTGATTGTCACTGCTTGTATTCTCATCTTTGCTTTTGGTTGTTCTTCATCTTGTCCTCTGTTTGCTGCTGTTGAGGACTGTGCTGTCCTTGATTGTTTGGATTGTGCTTCACCTGTAGGCTCCTCGCGTTGTCGCTTGCTTGCTGGTGGTAATGGCAGTGGTGGTCTTGCCATTGTTGTTGGTGAAGTTGCCAATGGTGATGTTGCCATTGTCGTATCCATTGGCTGATGATGCATTGCTTGTGTTGGTAGCGCCAGTGGTGTCTCTTGTACTGTCTGTGTGCTTGTATCTTCCACTGTAATGTCAGCTTGTGTGCCGATCGCTTGTCTGCTTGTGGTGTTGTCAGCTGGTAGAAGCAATTGTGGCGGAATTGCCATTGGTGTTGTTGGCAAGTTCCATGGATACACGTTGATGGTATCCAGTAGTTGCTTGTCGTACTTGTCTGGCATGATCTGTCTTCGTATTGTTCTTGCTCTGATGACCTTGCCAGGGATGCCAACTATTGACTCTCCAGTCACTGTGTCTCTGCCAAGCCAGATTCCTTTGAAGAATCTTGGCTCCATCTTGGGTTGTGCTTTTGTGGTTGGTATCATGTATTGTACTGTTTCTGCCATCTCGCATAGTGGTGCTTTGTGGTCCTTCTGCCATCGTCTTTGGTACCTTGTTTGTCCGTCATTGTGCATGGCATACCTGTTCAGTAGCCAGGCTGCACGCCGTACAATCCACGGCATGACCGGATGTTGTACGCTCAATGTGAGGTTGTAGCTTGTGGTCACTTGTTGTACGAGTGCTCGGACTTGTCCCATCAAGGTGCGATGGAATCGTTCAATGCTTCCTTGTGATTGTGACGAGTATGCCGGTGATTGTCGGATGTTGACGTTGTTTCCGAGCTTTTGTGCGACGGCCTTCAGTAGGTTCTGTATGTATTCTTCTTGGTCTGATTGTAGTGTTGTGGTGGATAGTGTTGCTTGTGCTCGTCCACATTCAAACATGAATGTTTGTAGACATCGTGTCAGGTATTGTTGTTGTTGGTTCTTGTCTTGTACAAGAACTGCCATTGCCATACCTGATTCGACATCTATTGCCGTGAGTACTGGTAGTACTTGTTTGTCTCCAAATGCTTTCATGTAGGTGAAGTCCACTTGTATCACTGGTTGTTCGCTTGCTTGTTTTGGGTGATTGTCTGTTCTTCCTTTGCTCTTGAAACAAGTTGGGCACCATGAGCGATATGGTAAATGTGTCAGCGCATGTTCTAGTCACCTTTCTTGTCTTGTTGGTTGTTGTGGCGCCTTCATCCCTTTGGCGCATTGTGCTTGTTGAGATTCATCTTCATTGTCCGTGTCGTACTCGTACTTGTACGTCGCTTCTTCCTCGAAGTTTGTTGATCCTGTCCATTGTCTGTCAAGCTGTCTTGCTCCTGATTCCTGCCAATTGTCATGGATTGTGTATCCTCTTCCTTGTTCCGTTCTGTTCACGAATGTTGTCCGGGTAGGTTTGAGTCGTCCAATGTCTGGACCATCATCTGTCTGTTGTGGTACGTACATTGTTGTCCGTGCTTGTACGTGAGCTCGTTTCCAATAGTGTCCTTCTCTGATCCACTAGTCTGTTGTTGGTGTCATTGTTGATGGATCAGGTACTGCCGTGGTTGTTGGTGCTGGCTTCTTCGTTGTGTGTCTGTATAGTGGGTCTCTGCTGACCTGCCGTGCTGTCCCGTCTTGTTCCGGGAGTTGTATTGCTGTTGATTGTTGTCGCACTTGTGGTGCCTGTTGTGCTTTCTCTGTTTTCTCTGTTGTCTTCGATGTTGTTGTCACTGGTTGTGCTGGTGGCTTGTTCACTCTAAACCATGTCTCTCCTGTCCAAGTGTCTCCTTGTATCAGTCTTCGTTGTTCGTGCTTGCTCAAGTCACGGTATTGTTCAACAATGTCTTCGTTGTTCCCGACTGTTCGTCGAATGATTGTTCGTCTGTAGTTGCTCAATGTTTCCAGTGGTACTGGGCAATTGTCGCCAGGAACAAAGAGAGCTTCCTCTTGTTCCGGTGATACCGTACAAGGTATCCTTCATTGTTGTAGTTCCAATAGTTGCTATTGCCTCCAAGAACTTGTTGTGGTCCATGTCTTGTCAGTGTTGTTGGGGCAATCATTGCAATCATGCCCTTTTGTGTATGTCTCAGCTGTAGTTGTTGACGTTGTCCCAGGTTCATGACTGTTGCTGGCAAGTAGTAGAGGTTGTGCTGCTGCACCAAGGGAACATTGAATCCCTTGTCATGGCGCATTGTTGGAGTGTCGTTGAACCTGATGTCAAAGTCTTGTTCTGCCAGTCTTGTCACTGACAGGATTGGGTCATGTATGTCACACACATAGAACGGTATGACAATTGGTTGTCCTTTTGATTGCATGTAGACCCATCTTACCCATAGCATTGTATTGTCTTGTTCGTCACTGTCCTGAGGTTTGGGCTTTGTGCTAGGTCAATCTTGTACACTGGATAGTTGTCTGCAAACCATAGTGGACAGACGTGTGTGGCTGCTCCACTGTCGATCATGATGTGCATAGTGTCTGTTGTGCCGCTACTTGTTGTACCTGTCTTGTAGTCATTGCCATTGTTGATCATGGCGATAACATGGATTGGTGTCATGTCATTGTTGCCGTTCGGAAGTGCCAATGGCTGTTGTCCTTGTTGTTGTCTCGTGTAGTCCTGAAAGTGCCATCCATTGTCATAGTAGTCGTCGTACCATTGTGCTGTCGCATCTTCAATGTCATTGCTTTCTCCTTGTCCAATGTTGTGTATTGCCACTCGGCAATCTTTGGCATAGTGTCCTGTTCTTCCACATCTGTAGCGTGTATCTGTTGCTTGTTTTCCTTTGTTCTTTCCCTTGCCTTTGTTGTATCCTTTGCTGAATCCTTTGTTTCCTTTGCTGCCTCTTCCGAATGGATTGCCAAAGCCGATCGGACTGTTGTTGTAGTTGTTGAATCCTTTTCCTCCATACTTTCCTTTTCCTTTGTGGTTGATGTTGTAGCTGTTGTAGCCGTAGCCGTTGTATCCTCCGTAGCCTTTGCCTTTGTTCTTTCCTTTTCCTTTCCCTTTTCCTTTGTAACTGTTGTACTTCCCTTTTCCTTTGTGGATTGCATCAATGTCCATAGGTGCTTGTCCTCCATCAAAGCTTGTTGCTACACTGGATGACTGTGATCGTAGTTGTTGTAGTTTGCTGAATGCTGTTGCTGATCTGTAGTACTCGATGATTGTTTGTTTGACTCGTGCATAGTTTGGGCTTTGTCCTGAAAGCAGTTGTAGGTGTTGTTGTAGTGGTCCGCTTGTCTCGTTGAGCAATACGGCAATCTTCACGGAGTCTGGGAGTGTTTGTCCATTGTCTCGCTCGAATCTTTGTAGCTCAAATTCCCATGTGGAAAATGATTCTTCAAAGTTGTTCTTGTCAAATGTTGGTTTCAACAATCTTGTCAAGTGTCCTATGGATCTTGTCCCCAATGGGATGGAGAAGCGGATGCACAGTTGTCGGTACATCTCGAAGCCAAGTGTGTGTTGGTATTGTCTGCATACTGTAGCTGCTGCTCCAGTTGTTGTGTTGATGAGGATGTACCTCAAATCAGTGCTGAGGCGAACATGTCGTTCACCGTCTTCGATTGTTGATGCCGCTGCTCGTAATTGTAGCTCTGTGAGTTCTGCTGTGCCTCGTTCTGCTGCTTGTAGTAGTTCTGTGTAATCATTGTCTTGCAATCCCATGTATGCTGTGAACTTGTACTTCCATTCCTCGAACGTGCCATAGTCTCCATTGAAGAAAGGTGGTTTGAGTTTGTATCTGTTCATGTTTGCCATGTTGGTGATTGTCTCGTCTTCTGGAACTGGAGGTAGGCCATCTCCAGCTTGAGCTGCTGCTGGTTGTGCTGCCATTGTTGCAGCTGTACAAGCTACCTGTTGTAGGGTCAAGGCTTGTTCTCCGTTGTCTGTGTTTGTGTGTCTGTTCCTGTGGTTGTATTGGAGCTCACCTGGATTGTTGTTACCAGGATCCTTGCTCCGCTACCATGTAAAATTCAGCAGCTGTTTTGTTTGTCGTTTGTTTGTGCACGTCTCTGTATTGTTTTCCCCTCTGGCAATTGTCCGTAGGCTCAAGCTAAGCTCAAGGCCTTTGATCCAAGGTGCATTGTATAGCACCATGCAATTGTACATCAACACTACGATGGAGTAAGTAAGCTATTGTGAAAAAGCTTGTCTCTTAACATCTGTGTCGACCACACATGTCTGAGATTTGAAACCATGGGGATTGCTGGCACAACATGCATTCAATCGCAGAAGTGGCTTTGTAAAGGGCAAAGGTAGGCCGCATCAAGTTTCGCCTACTGCTTTTATGCCGCTCAGACCCACTTACCGATGGGTGTACTCTGACATGGCGCATCTTTTTCGCTTGACCACCCTAGCAATCCAGGCTGCCTTTGGTCTCAATGTTTGGTTCTGTACCCCGTGGTAGGCAGTTCTCAGAGCGCCAAGCATTTCTCCTCACCTCGTTCGACATATCCAGATGTCTTATACCTCATTGGCAGAGCTGCTGGCAGCAAAAGCTGAGCCGTCGCCCAAGCCTTCCACACGATTTCCAACATGACTCTTGTTTGACCATGCCTCCTGCGTACAGCTTGAACTGATACAGGTTCTGTTACCGTTTGAACCCAAATAGGTGTTCCATGAGACGGTCTTTAAGGAGTGGCATTGGTGCAAGGGTCTGCTAAGGCTGAGAGTCTCCAGGTCTTTTTGCGAAACAGGCTGAAGCATCCCCGGTAGGTTTTCCCTTAAAGATTCTGAGACATGGAAGATCCTACCCCTGTAATTATAATTGACTTACCCACTTCCAATATGTTCAGAATACCTTCCGCGGGCTTCTTGTGGTGTGTGGGAAACTAATGAACATGAAGATCAACATCCACTCACGAACCGATCTTCACAATACTCTGCCGCAAGATCTCTTGAGTCCGAAGCAATCAATGTAGAGAACAACACTAGTAGTAACAAGTGCATCGCTACTAGCAACAGGTTGGGTGTCAAAATCTTTTGTCTCAAACCGAGCAACCGTATGAGGCCCTTCCTCGCCACGGGCAGCGAAGCGGTGGCGGAGCTCTTGGAGGCCTAGGAAGCTGGTTCTGGACCCTTCTGAAGGGCCATCCTAGTTGAAGATAACATATTTCCAATTTCAGACCTCTAACTGGCAGATCATGCCTGTAAGTCCTTACAGGGTTCCATCTGCCTTTCGTCTTGGAATGTGCTTTGGTCAAGTGTCCACGGTTGGTTACAGGATTTGGAGGGGAGGTGCACGGATAGCAAGGACCCCATTAACAGGGATTCTTCAAGTTGGTGATCCAATCAGCTGAAGAATCTTGCTGTTGCTCTTGGAGGAGGGCTGCATGCTCCCTCTTCGATGCCTTCCCTAGAACACGTCTTACTCTTTCTAGCTTGTAGCCGCTTGAGGGTTGGCAGCTGCTTATCTTAAAACGTTGTTGGTTTTGTGTGCGCATTCTTTTGTTGCATGCTCATGAAGCAACTCGGGGCCTCCCTTATCGGGTTGAGGAGGGCTAGAACTTGTAGGGAGGAATGTTTGCAAAAGATTCAAAAGTCAAGTTTTGTAGGGTTGCCCATCCAAGTGCCGCGTGTCTTTCTTGTCAACCACCGTTTTGGGCCCCTGGGCAATGCAGACAGCCGAACCGAACCTAATACCAAAATTGGTTCGGGGTGTTTCACCTTGAGCAGAGGGAGCAGGTATCAACCGCAAGGCTTGAAGACTGAGGTAGCGAAACCGATCTTTTAGGGTCAGTGACGTATGGTATATGTTCCGTGTCATGAAGAATGTCTGCGCTCCTCTTTTGCCAAGAAGCAGGCCATGACCTGTGTTGGCTTCAGTGTGTATTGAAATTGGGAGACCTCCCAACGAACCTTGGGAGTGGGAAACATCAACAAAAAAGCAGCAGTTGGAGGGTCTTCCGAGTCTTCCTATTCTGATGACACACCCTCTTTGGCCATCCCAATGGCGCCATTTGCGCCCGTAAGGCCATGGTGAATGGATCCATTCAGCTTGACACCATCCCGGGGCGTGGCTTGGATTTTGTCCTGAAGAATGGATTGGTGGATTGGAGCGGTTTCCTGGTGTTTTGCTCTAAGTTGCCAGACCTGAGTTACTAAACTAGACGGTGATGCACAAAGCAGCAAACATACACTGGCGCACAGTGCAATCCACTCTTTGGTGGACTCGCATTGTCGTAGTCGAGTTGGAGGCAAGACCCTTGTAGCGACAGCTTTGTCCCATTGGTCATCCAACTGCCTTTTGCAGAAGTCCATGCCCCAGTCTCGAGCCAGAGGCCTTTTGTTCTGGGAGGTTTGTCAGTGCTGGGTCATCAAATTGCCTTTGTTTCTGCGTGAGCAACTTTAGCCCTTAAGAGCTGGTTGCCCCAGTGCGTACCCCCATGCCTGGTAGCTGCGCTTGTAGCTATTCGTGCACTGCAATTGCTTTGCATTGCTTCTCTGTGATGTCTTCTGCTTTTCTTGCTTATCCTGGTCATTTTTTAAAGGCTGTCTTGCTTCTCGTTGCTTTTCTGCTTCTTGTCTTGTTGTGGTGCGGTGTATTGTTTCCTTTCTTTAACTGCATTTACTTTCCATTCCATGGCCTTTGTTGCCGTTGCCTTTTATTTTGTTGCTTTTTAAGCCTTGAGTTTGTCTTGCTGTCTGGCTTTCTATACTTTTCCTACCATTGTTGTTTGTTTTTTGCTCTACTGGTTGTTGTCTTTTCTCTCTTTCGTTGCTTCTGTGGGTTTTGAACGTTCTTTGCATTACTTGGTGTATTCGATCGATAAGGGAGTAAATAATGAAAGAGCTTTGTTCATAATATGATGCACTTGGGTTGCCCCTTAAGGTGAAACACACACTTGTCTCATAGTTGTTCGCCCTGTGGCTTACTTTTTTTGGCCTGCCTTGTGGATGACCTTTCTTCTAGAAACAGGTAGCTTTCCACTTCCACGGGAGGCACCGCAGCCGCAAAAAATTATCAAACGACACAAAACAAAACACATATCCACATTTCAATAAAGCCGCAACCTTTATCCGATGCGAACCTTTGTAGCTCACCTTCCTGTGAAGACCGGGGTGCAGGTGATGGAATGATTGGAATTGATCGGGGTGCAGGTGATGGAATTATTGGAACCGATCTGAGGATTACTGAAAGTCTTTCGCAAAGCGCCTTTTGCTACGGCCTGGAGGCTCAGCCAAGTAATGTGCAACCAGCAAGGACGTGCTGCTGTCACGGATGCAGCTTTGTAGGGATTGGTCAGATAGGTTTCATCCAGCTTTGTAGTTCATTTGTGCCATTTATGCATGGAAACTCTCTTTAGCCAGCGTTGTGTGCTATCAGAAACTAAGAGTTCTTTGAGAGAGATCAGAATCATCAGATGTGCACATGATGTAGCAATGCTGGTATGAGGGAGGTTGGCGGAACTCTCGCAACACCCACACCGGCTTCTGACCTTGCTTGACTGAACCGAACTTCACACCCAATTGATTCAGTACGATGGCGGTTCAATAGCAGCTTCAGACAGAAGATCAAGAACGCCTGTAGCTTCCCTCAAACAACCCCTAGTGAGAAATCAAACAGCTTATATAGTGTCCATGCTTCTGAGTATATGAAAAAAACGTTAAAACTTCTGATTGTGAGAAAGGTTCGACCGATGTTCTTCCACAATATAACATAACATAAGTATCATGACATCACAATCAATCTACCAAAGTCTGGTCCTTGAGGATATAGACTGCGATACTCTATACAAAGCCTAGCCGCTTTTGCACCACGCCTCGAATCGGAGCGGGAGGGGAAGGGTTATCCAACAGGGATTGTATTTCTATTCTACGATTCTACCTTACTTTCCCCACCATTTGTCCATGTCTTCCGATTGATTTCCCAGCCGTTCTGCGTCATTGCACATTGTCGTGTACAACCCAGGCTGCTGCGATCATTGCCGGGTTGGGAGAGAAGGGCCTTGAGGGAGAGGAGATGCAGGAGAGCCGGGTCTGGCCGGGTCTGGACGATTGCGATGCGAGGCGTTAGGGGCCTCATTGGTGGAGGTTTACTTGTGGCCTCAAATGAGCCATACTGGGCTAATGCAACCCAATCTTCCTTTGTGCCAGTCACTCGTGTCACAAAGTCCTGAGCATTTCAACTGAAAGAGAGCCATGATCTGCACCCCCTGACAACCTTAAACACCACTGACTCCTGCAGAAAAGGCGTGTGCCAAGTCCTTGGTGGCCAGCCGTGAAGCTCTGGAGGCATAGCAAAGAGTTCGGGGGCAGCTGTGGTTTTTGAGGACTTGAAAGTATATAATATAGACATATATATATATATACAGATTTAAGACTTACCCGCAAAAGGCTTTTGGGTGATTTTTACGAGTCCAAGGCCTTTCGCACTTTGAGGCTGGCCATGCGTGGAAATTTCTGGCTTTGTGGCTGTGGGGAAAGTCATGTGGAATGGTAACTATCGAAGTTGTATCGTCATACGTACAAAGAACAAAAGGGACAAGCGCATTTTATAAACATCATATACTGTATATACACATCGACACACTTGTATATGGTATTGCCTGGGATCCCCTAGTTTGTAGTTGCCGTTGTTTGCAGTGTTGTCAGCTGATCTTTGGTCCTTAATTTCTGGAGTACTTTTGAATACTGTATGACATTCATGTTCATGTTGGAAGGGCACTCTCAATACATATTATACACACATCATATGCATGGCACTGAGATAAGTCATTTACTTTTGATATCTATCTCTCTATATATCTATATCTTATATATATATATATATCTGTCATTTATTGTTTTTTGCAGAAGAGCCACAAGATGAATGGCAACCTGCCGTGCGACAAGTGAGAAAACACCCAATTCCAGCAGACTATGAAGTGCCTTTCTGTCCTTCAGGACTAGCCAGTAGAGTTCTTCGACGAGGACCAGACTTCTCAAATGCGACTAGACGAGAACGTGCATGTAGAAGCTACAACACCAAGAAGCTGTCCTCCCTGCGGATTTCAATCAGGACCTTCGTGGGTAGCACAAGTCAAAGACAGCCGTCCTGTTTTTGATCCAATGACACAGCCGCAGTGACCGTTGAGATAGACATGCCACCAACCCATGCAGCTTCAGAAAGAGCTTTGCAGAACCTCAGTTGGTGCCGGCGAAGGGAAGAACAATAGAAGCTGAGAAACATGGCAGAAGAAGAAGAAGAACAACGGCAAGGGCAATTGAGGTCTCCAACTTCGTTGCAGCAAGAGCACTTGGAGCTCTTTTATCAAGCAAGAAAAGGATCCTCATCTGGAAAAGTCTACCTGGTGGTGGTACAAGAGCAAAAGCTACTGTAGAGCCGTACTTCTTGGGTATCAAGACTCACGTACAGCATCACAACCACAACCAAGCAAACACATCAGATACAGATACAATTGACGATTGCCGCAGCACGTGGTTTGCGGAAGGGTGACGTTTCCCGAGCTTTCATCCTTGCTCTCGTGAATATGCAGATGAGCTTTTGTGTACACGATGCGCAGACATTCACAAAAGTACGCAAAGCGTCCTATGGTCTAGTGGACACGCCAATAGAATGGCACCATTCCATCAGTGAAGGCTTTTCCTTCCACCAGCTTGGCCTCCGCAGGTGCTGTTCAAATCCCTGTTGCTGGACCCCTCATGGTTGAGGGTCAACTCCAAGGAATCATTTCTGGACATGTGGATGACTTCGTCTTCTCAGGACATGAAGTAAACAAGGAATGGAATACATTGTTGGAGAACATCCTCAACAAGTACAACTTATTCTACCGGAAAAGTCGAAGCTTTGCGTTGTGCCAGGTGAAGGTAGAAAGACGCGAAGGCGGAACCTATGCCCTGTCACTAAAGTCATACATTGAAGAACTGAACTGTCAACATACATCAACATACAAATGAAAGCCAAACACAGTCCAACCGATGATTGGGGGAAGGGACAACTTCGAACGTTGGACGTCGTTAGGTGGTTTCCGCAACAAAGAGCGCCACATTTTCGGTAGGAACTTGCATTGTGCAAACAAGTTGATGTGCCAGGTTAGATCCATGAAAGACCGTAAGTTTGATCATCCCCAAGATGGATTCGGAGAAGATGGGGGTATGTTTGTGTGGTGTGATGCTGCGAGCCAAAACCGGGTTGATGGTGGTGGCACTCAAAGATTCTTGATTGGAGCCTCTCAAATGAACATGTTTGAAGGGAACCATTCATTCCTATGAGACGGGTGCAGTAGCCCTCAATTTGTCCGTTCAACTCAATGGGTGTATGTTGTTAATATATATATATATACAGATACATATATATATATAATTATAGATGGAGGAAAGCAGGGTGCAAACTTGCGGGCAAACAGTGCCATACTTCTACGTAGCTACTTTTGATGTGGAAAAGCCAGGTCTCGAGTCTGAACCCATGTCCCTGCAATACGATATACATACCTGACATACCCGAAGGGAACTTGGCTCCAGTGACCTCTGCAGGCCTTGCAACCTGAGCAGCTGCTGCGGCTCACAGTGGCCGCAACCAAGTCGGAGCCAGTGGCCAAGGAGGTGGGACTGTAGCTGTTTGATGGGTTAATTTGGCCGGAAACACATGACTCGCATTGATGCATCTGGTTATTCCTAACACAAGCCCTGTGGTTTTGATTGAGGGTGCTCACCGGCGTGAGCAGCTACTCCCATTTGCACCACTCTGCCGCTCGGGAGTCCTCGCGGCTTTGGTGGTCTGGAGTTGACTTGTCGTGGCAGGTGCAGGAGATCGGAGCATATCGGAGCCGTTTTACTTCGTTGTGCAACAAATTATCAACTGTAGACCGTTTTAGAAGCAACATGGTCTACGAAAGATTGGTTTAAGGGCAACATGGTGACCGAAAGGCCGCTTCAAAGGCACAAATTGTCTACAAAGAAAAGACCCTTTTAAGGCAAACATGCTCTCATATGTCACATGCGTGTTGTCAAGTGTTTGCTCATATGTGCGCTCTCAGTGTGTATGCTCATGTGTGCTCTCATGTTTGTGTTCTGTAAAGTGTGCTCTCATATTTGTGCTCTTATACGTGTGGTCTGATGTGTGCGTGTGCGTGCTCCCATTTGTGTGATCTGATACGCGTTCTCTCATGTGGGTGCTCTAGAGTGCCGAAGACTCACCCCTTTTCTTGTTCTACTTAGCACTGTTTGGCCCCTTGCCGGTTGATGCTCGAGCGAACGAGGAAGTGGGGAATCTTTGAGTTGAACCAACATGTATCTTACCAGATGATGACTATGACTATGAGCTGCCTTTTTGTTTTGGGGGATACCCCCCTTTGAGTCTGGTTGGAAGAAGGACCCGGGACAAACCAGTGGACTGGTTTGCACTGAGAGGGATCTGTATCGCTGACTTTCCAAGGTTCCTGACTTCAATTCTCATGGGCAGATCCGAGGGATTCTTAGGAACTAGCTGCGTTGCACGGACGTAGTGGTACGTACTGCATACGGTAGTACATAATATTATATATATATTCTTTAATAATCTTTGATATTTGTCAAAAACAGTTGGCGGAAGACATTCCCAGTATTTAGTCTTCTTTGCCACCTGTTTCTATATTGGTGTGGTCAGGGCAAGTAGGTGAGGCTAATAGAAGAGGAATGCCGTTCTGAATTCCAACTCCAAGAAACGACCTACATTGATGCCACAATGCCATTTGTAGAAGACACTCCCAGCCTATGTTGCAGGTTGAGCTCTTACGGCACCAATTTTAATCTATTTTTGAAAGGCCCACTGGCAGAGCTGATGATCCATGTCACAATTCTGGCGAACTTCGCCTCACGATGGTAAATGACCTTGCAGCGATGCAGAGGATTCGTGTGTGAAAACCACTTATTGCTGATTTCAGGTGGGTGAACCCCACTGGGTGAGACACGGTCGAACCAGGCTTTGGATGCAGTGGCATCTGCTGTTCCTTGGACAGATATGCTGCACCCAGGATTTTTTTGCTATCTTGTGTGGGGAAGGCATCATTATGCACGAAATACTTCCTAGACAGATCTTGATCGTGCGACCTTGGTTTTCTTCAAACAATGATTGTACAGCCAAAACTCACTCAACTTTTCTGCCGAAAAGGCGTTCGTGCCTCTTTCATATTGGAATATCACTGGGCCCCCGCGAGGGATTCATTTCTGCATGAGCCCCTGCTCCTTGATAGCAAAACAGTTTCTCAGAAGTATTTGACAGGCTGGATCACTCAACACAGCGGAGTTATATATATATATACAGTTAAACCGGCTAAACATTCCTCCACCATGCTTTGGACAGATGGTTTTTACTTCCACCAGAGGTGCCTTACAGTTGAGTGAGAAGCTCCAAACAAACTTGCGGGACGACATGCCTTTGCCACTGTATAAGGGAATCAGCCCAGTCCCATCCCGAATCAACCCAGTCCCATCCTGAAGCCATCTCTGAACCACTATCTGGGGAGCTGCTCGTGGAGACGTGAGGCCGCCTTGGTCTTGAATGCATTTAGCTTGGAGGACAGCAGCATGAGTAATCATCATCTTTGAGGTGAAGAGTGGTGCGGGTCAATGCTTTGCTTTGGGTACTCATGTCACAAGCGATAGTTCAGCAGTTCTCCTTCCTTCCTTCCTTCCTTCCTTCCCTCCCTGATGCCCGCTTGATCTTGAAGGATGTATGTTGCGCCCAGGGCACACATTTCTGAATCTGCAGGCTCTTGAGCGACATCCCTTTTAATTCCACATCATCTTTCCCTGTGGATCATCATGCTTTGATTGATCAAAGAGTTGACTATGCACGCAGTGTTCTGCTTCCCACCAGGTGACAGGCCTCATTGACAATGTTCGGCAACCCTGCGAGAGGATGCTTCCAAGCTTCTGCTTGCAGTGGCCAAGGCTAAAGCAGGTGCAGGCGCTGAGTCAAGACCTTTTCCGCCCCCTAACTGGTCATTGCCAATCTGTAAAAGGCAGGCGTGCATCCCAAAGCCTTTGGCTTTGAGCTCTCAAAGTGAAGCGTCAAATGGATGCATTACGTATATAAAGCCATCCTTGGCCACCGATTTGCGTGGGAATTTGAGAGAAATGCTGGAGCGAGTTGGCGGATAAAGAGATTGCGGTGGGTGTTGAGATGCTCTCAACTTTTCATTAAGCCAAGCTTGATTTTTTTTCCGCATTGTTTGGACCATTTTTTGCAAGATTCACTCCCAATTCATATCTGGTCGCTTGGCAACATTTTCTTTCCACCCTTCGGAGGCTCAGGGGTTCAAGAGCTTTATGAGCGGGCAGCGGAGGCTGGAATGGGGTGCCATCGTTCCACGGATTCGTTTGGACGGCCGATGAAGCCGACTCGGTGGCCCCCTTTTGGACATTTGCTGAGTGGGTCTTATGTATTGAACACCTCAAGGAAGCACTGTGGCGTTCTCAAGGAACTGGAGTTTCTTTCCAGTAGTGTTTTGCTTTTGCTTCTGTTTTTTTTGTTTTGCTTTTGCTTTTGCCTGCTTTGTTTTGTGCTTGCCCTGCTTATGTTTTGCTTCTGCTGGCGGTCGCCTTTTGATGGCTTCTGGTGGAGAGAGCATTTTTTTTGTTTTCTATTTTAATGTTTTTTGTTCCCCCCGAGGGTTTGCAGAGGAAGGGGTCATTTCATGGCATGCGTTTTGTGAGTGTAGAGGAGGAAGGGGTCATTCCGATGCAGCAGGCTTCCAAAACACTCCCGGAAAAGGTTCCCAAAACTGTCCGGAAAAACTCACACGCAACCAGGCAAGCAAGGAAGCAAGCAAGGCCTGAAGAAGCCCTAAAAAGAAATGACACCCGAGGCCCACCCCAAAGAAGCCCTAAAGAAGTGAAACTCTAAGTCAAGCCCAAAGAAATCCAAAAGATCATCCCTATCTCCTGTTTGCTCCTCTCCTTTGCCTTCTCGGGCCTTCCCTTCCTCCCTCCCTCCCTCCCGCCCTCCCTCCCTCCCTTCGTTCCTCGCGGTCTCTCTTTTTCCTAATTTTTTTTGCAAATTTTTTGCTGCTCCTTCTGCTTCTAAAACACTCCGGAAAAATACCACAAATGGCAGGACTAAACGTCACACAATAAATCTTCACCCTCTCGTCTCAGGGCGAGGGTAGAAAGGACCCGGCATGCTAGACTGCTAGACTGCTTCTATGCTACTTCGAGATGAATCCCCAACTTGGGTCTTGAACCAGGGTGCCAATCTACACCTTGACTTGGGAGCCTTACCTACCAACAGGGAAAACTCGGGCGATGTGTCAGGCGGTGTTCCGGTGATTTGCAACACTGATCCTTGACTCTTTCCATCCTCGATCAGTCCAAGACACGTGAACTCGCTTCGCGAATCGTACAATCAGAGCCAGTCGTTTCACTACACGTCGCAAGCTGTGCTGGGAAGATTTATGACTCCCTACTTGACAGGGCTTTAACCTAGTCCCTGTGATGTGTGGGTCTTGAAATCTGCAACATGAGATGCAGATATGAGGATGTGCCAAAGTTACTTGCCGGAAGTGTAGGGTTGACATTGGAGGGCATGATGAGCCCCGTATCTTTCCAATGTCCTTTCAAGGAACACCCTCATTAGGCAATTCTTACATCAGCAGTTTTACACCTGGATTGAGTAATGATCTTTTTCTCACGTGAGACACGTTCCTTACTCAACACATGAACAGTTTCTACACCCGCCTTTTCCATGCATCACATCACCTGGAAGCGCGAGGTGATTCCGCCCAAGCTCTCGGAGCTCTCCTCCGGGCAGCTCATCAAGGTGGACCGCTTGGGTGGGCGGACAGGTCATCCACCCAAAATACACTCAATTCAATACCAAAACCTAAGAGTGATGGCCTCGTTCTTTCGTTATTCAGATACCCCGGTGCTGGGTGTTGGAGACACGTGGAATGTTGACAGGCCGTACAGCTTTGACGATTGAGTACAGTACAGTGTTGCTGCGACGTTGCAGTGCCAGACTTTTGCTGTGATACGCCAGGTACAGGTTGAGGGGGCGGTGCATGTACCCTTCTGTTACTGGTAGAAACCTGTTGGTACCTGCCAATGATACACGCAGTCTCCAAGGGAACTATTTCACAGCCAGGGATGTCAGACAGGTTGGACAAAGCGTGTCCAAAACCAACAACATGGATCCGAAGACTATATACCATCACTTGGGGCAAAGCCTTGTGTTCAGATAACATCCTTTCGTTGACATACTGAAGCCGCCCCTGAATTCCTGCAAGATGCACCCCAACTGATTAGCAAAGGTCAGTGGGCAACCCATTTTGATGGTCGATGACCTCAACAGACCGAAAGCGGCAGGTGGTCTTGGCGGTCACCAAGGTGGAAGCATGTAGACCCCTGCTGGAGACAGCAGCGCAGGCAGCTGTCGCCAGGCAGGGTCCCGTCTTCAGATTGATGAGAGATATTTTGTCCACGAGAGGACTCTGTGACCTGTGGAATTGGAGTTTGACCCATAGCTTGGGACTAGACTCCAGAGACTCTAGACTAGATATGTGTAAAAGTGCAGAAGGCTACTGGCCTTGTTGCATTCATGCAGGAAGTGCTTCCTTCGGTCTATATTCTTGAACAAAAGCGATGCTGCTTCGCAGGGATTTGGGAGTTTGATTCAAGGTGCCCGACCCACCACAATTTCCTGAAAATCTAGGAACCAAATGAATGGTGCGAGCGCTTCTTCAAGGAAGCTGGGCGGCGGGGGGAGTTTCCTTGAAGAAGCGTGAGCTATCCTGCATCCAGTTACTAGTAGCGTCCTACTTCACAGCTACTAAGTGGCTTACCTCTTCTTAGTGGCCTACCGGGCTACTGTACATTAAAGAAAAGATGCAAACCAGAAAGAAGAAAGAAAGCTGACCAGGAAGTCGGGCGGCCCTGAAGATCGGTCAGGACTGCCGATGTCTCTGTTTTCATCGCAACCGGCAGGGTGGGAGATGTCCAGCCCTCCCAGATGATGTTGCTAATGCAGGGGCTGCTTCCTTTGGGCTCGGCACTTGGACACCGAAGCGGTCTGTCTGTTTTTTCGTGGGTCGTTTGCTATTAGGTTGGAGGCCATCGCTATTGCTGTAGGTTGGAGGCCATCGCTATTACTGTAGATAGGAGGCCATCGCTATTTGTTTTCTTTTCGTGGGCAGAGTTGTACTGGTCCGAAAGCAGGATACTTAGGTGGGACCAGGCTCGGCTTTTGCACTTATATATAACGGGGATGATCCCAACGTTGTCACATGTGCAGTCTCACTCACAGTCTAGCTCCTGCTACACAGGTGGAGAGCATCCAGCATTGAACAAGATCGCAGACAACTGGGCAGCAAGTGACTTGCAGGCAGCTGAAAAACTTGTGCACGATACCTTACTTACTAGTAAATTCCTAGATGAACACTGACATGAACCACTCCTTCAAATAAGTGGGAAAGCAAAAAAATCCATGATCTATACGGAGTATTACCATATTAGCTAGTCCACCCACATGTTTCTGAGTCCCCATAGACAACTAGCATTGGTTTCTTAAACCGGCCCACACACAACTCTTTCAAGTTTTTTCTATCTATTGGTATGTGGCAGAAAGGCACGCAAGCACATACGTAGGTGTGTTGAAGGTTACATGCAAGGGCCTATGTCTATACATACATATGCATCCAACCAGACCTTGCAATGAAACAGTAAATTGGGCCAAACACATGTTGTTTTCAGCAATTGTGCGGTCGAGGAGTCCAGCAATTGTGCGGTACTAACAGTGAAGGACGCGTCCCATCACGACGCCTCGGGACAGACGACCCAAAGAGGTCTGCCCAAAAGAGGTCTGCACAACGACGGGTTTTTGAGAGCGCACCATTTGCGCGATGAAGCCTGAGGCTTCTATGAAGCCACACGGCTCCTTGCCATCATGTGGTTTGGTCGTCCTCAGTCGTGGAAGCGGTCGACCTTTTTTGGACTGTGGTGATGAATTGAATTGTTTGCCTAAGGCCTAAGGCGGCTAAACACATCTATTTTCGCTGGCCTCAAGTCTTCTGGCCAAGGGAGTGTTTGCCGTTCAGTGGCTTGTAGTTGTAATACCAAACGCATAGGCAGAGCGGTATGTGGGTGAGTCGCAGGGTATATAATATTTATCTTAGAAGTGCATTCCCAACATTCTTCCAGGAAAGCAGTGAAACGAGAACTTTTTCTATAGATCACGCCACCATTCGGCAGGAAAGCTTCAGAAGATCGGCATAAGATGTTGTTTCGGCATATGATATGCCGCATATCATATTTCGGAAAGGTGGCAGTTGGATCAATCTGGGAACCAAATCATTCGCGTGAGCTGTCCTGCGTCCATGTGTAGTAGCTTAAGGAGCTAGGAGCTTACTCCCGTAATTAAGTAAGCGCCTGCCTAATTAAGTAAAGGCGGGCAAAAAAACAAAACCCTTAACCCTAAAAGTAATATATATAATACTTTTCTTTTTTTTGTGGTCCAGTGGTGTTTGAACCAGTGCCCAGTCAGTCCGCTGCCGCTCTAATTTCGTGCGGCCAAACACCGGGCGAGTTTCGAACAATGACTCTTCTTTAAATGCCCGGCTCTACTGTTGATTTGAAGTGCACCTTTAGCGTTACCCGTAAGATTGAAGAAATTTGGTATTACACTGTATCTTCTGGAGGAGTGCCTTAAATTCATGGATTACAAGAAAAACATGCTCCGCATACTCGCATTGGTGTTTTCAAAAGGGAGGGGTATTTATTTTTGGATTTTTTTTTGTTTCTTTTTTGGATTTTTTTTTGGTTTTTCGTGGCTTCTGGCTTCTGGCTTCTGTGGCTTTTGGCTTTTTGGCCTATCCATCTATCTGTCTATACCTATCTATTTATCTATCTATCTTTCTTTCTTTCTTTTGGCAGCTGTTCTCCTTTCTCTTTTTGTATTTGCTTTTCCTGTTGTTTTCGTTGCAGAGACGAAACCAAACAAGGAAGCAAGCAAGCAAGCAAGCAAGCACGAGCTGCTCACCTTTGGATCTGGTGTGCTGCTGGGGGGGGCGCTGCGCCCCCCCCCCAACCCCCCCGCGCCACGAAATCTGCACTTCATCCCCGACACCCGCGCCTGCCACGAAATCAACATTTTAAGGTGAACTCCCCGGTGCAAAACTTTCTAAGCAAGCAAATATGCCTCCTCTATCTATCTATCTATCTATTTATCTTTCTATCTTTCTGCAGTTCAACATCCACAAAGTACTGCACCTGCCACGAAATCTGCATTTCAAGGTCCACAAAGTCTTGTGCCTGCCACGAAATCTGCACTCCAAGGTCCACAAAGTCCTGCACCTGCCACCAACTCTACACTTCCACACCCACAAAGTCCTGCATCTGCCACGAAATCTGCACTTCAAGGTCCACAAAGTCCTGCGCCTGCCACAAACTCTGCACTCCAAGGCCCACGAAGTCCTGCACCTGCCACGAAATGTGCTTTGCAAGGTCCACAAAGTACTGCACCTGCCACGAAACACGAAAAACAAAAAATTAACAAAAAAACACGAAAAAAATCCAGAAATAAATTCGCAACCTTTCAAAAGTAGTTTGCTTGGTGCCCCTCGAGCGTCGTTATGAAACCCGAAGACGCAGAAAATGTGCTGAATATGTGCTGAGAAAGCGGCCTCAAAAACCTTTCAGTTTGACGAATCTCGTTCTTTAGTCCTTGATAGTCCTTATGCAACAATCCCTGCGACTTGAGAGGTTCAGGATTTTGCCAGGGAGGGGAGTTCCCCGCTGAACAATCGCACTTGCATTGAGCTTTGGGAATCCAACGAAACGATTCAACAATCCAAATCTGCATAATTCATCCAACTTCCGCTGGTGCTGCAATTTGCTAGATGTTCCCTGCCTCGGCTTTGAGTTACAGTGGCAATAAGTGGGGTCGGCCAAACCTTTCCTGCTCCTTGGTTTCAACAGGCAGGATTTAAACCTTCAGTTGCTTGCCGTTTAATCTGCTAAGTAAGTACTGCCGGGTCTTATTAATGTTGCGGTGCTGGTCTTGGCTTTTGGCGTGCTCACATCCAGCTTTGCATAGACGAAGCTGGAAGGATTGGAGGTATTTGATATCTCGGAAGTTCTGAGTGACAAATGTTTGTTCTGGGCTTCAAGGAACTTCAAGGAACACAGGACAAGTGGAAAATCTGGGAGTGTCAAGACTTTGTGGAATTGTTGAAAGAGAGCGTGCCAATTCCATTTGAGGCTGGAGGGTCTGCTGGGACCTGATCAAATTGAAACCAGACGTAAAGAGCTGGAAAGCAAAGGCCCTTGGGAGAAGTGGCAAGGGGATGAGGGCGATGGGACCATGAGAATCATTAGAAAGCATGTGCTGCAATCCCTTTCGTGCGAAGGCCGGGACCATCCAGCACGTCAGGGAGTGCATTCTATGACCATCCCCTCCTGCCATCACCAACTCCGTGGATTGAGAATCCCAAATGGATAGATCCACTAGCACCCCCGAGTAGCAGCAGTTGTGCGGAAGAAGGGTTTCTCGGAGGGCTGATCATCGCCAGTTGTGTTGATGAAGCGCCGGCAGGTCAGCTGTCAGCTGATCAGGTGTCCAAGCTGGCACTGGCGGGGTCCCAAGCGATTGGCGGCATGAGCAGCTTGCATCGTTTCGATTGGCTCCTATGGCAGATCCCTGCAATGCAAGACACTTTTAGGTTTGGGGCTTACCATTATGCTACCAATGAGATATTAATGGCATTCCTACTCTACATGGCATCTTACCTGTTTCTCATCGTCTCAGCCGGTGGATGACTTGGGAGGGTACCTAGAAGAGTGACTTGGGAGTAAAACGAAAGCAGCTTTGCAACGGCACTGGATGGCGCGGTGGAGATTCGGCCAAGCGGCCGCCAACCTCACGATTTGAGACCAAGAGTGCGATGATTTGTGTCCATTCATGTTTCATCGTGTTTCAGACAAACGTGTCACTTGGGTCGATGACCCCTGCCAAGATGGAACAGATCTTTTGCCTTTCTTCTTTTGAACATTTTCTAAAGAAATTTTCTTTTTAAAGACCTTTCTTTTAAAGACCATTCCGAAATGTCTAATGGTTCAGAGGCTTTGGAGGTTCAGCGTGGTTCACCTGTCGCTGGATCGGGTCACTCGATGCGCCTCCAGATGGTGGCTCCTGTGATGCCAAAGCACCAATCCTTCTGGAACGCTGCTTGGCCGACAAGGTGAAGGGGATGAAGGGTCTACCTCATCTGCCAGCATTCTGTTTTGAGAAGCTGGCCCTGTGGATATAAAGACGGACTCTGTAACAGCGACGACCATGAGGACACAATGAGAACTCGCTGTTGTTATCTTTGCAAGCACATATGCCTACGTCTATGTCATTCACAGACGTTTTTTTAGCCCAGAGGAGGAGGCAGCTGACCCACCGGATTTCCCATCTTTGGCCTCTCCAACTGGCCGCCGCTCCAAGACACTCCACAGGCCCCCAGTCCACTCAATGCCCAGGCTTTCGGGAAGCGCCTCAGGGAAATGCCTGAGGATTTAAGCGATGTCGGCATCGCCAACCTGCGACCCGGCATGGAAGGATGAAGAGTTGGAGATGGCTCAGACTTGGATGCCTGAAGGAATTTTTCGGGCGCAACAGATTCGCCTTCGAGGTCGGCTCGTTGAGGTTCTGAGCATTTCGCTAGGATTTGGGGTCACACCAAAGTTCAGAGTCGCATGACTGACTATGCAGAAGAAGGCTCTTCTAGGAAAGATCTAGTAGCAGAGGATTGCATCCATATTATTCGGCAGTGGAGTTAAACTCCAGACACTTGGTGAACGTTTTGAAGAGAACAATCATTGGGATGTTTGCCGGTCGTCTAGTGTTCACAGCCAAGCTGAATGGAGTTTTGAAAGAGCTTACTCTGATGGAGCAACATGTTCAAATCGAGCCAACTCCCTGGATCTTCGGAAGAGCTGTTTATTGCTGTTCCACCAGACATGAGAAGATTGCAGTGCCATTCTCAAAATCTGCAACCCATCTCTCAGGAAACTGGCGTTTCCGGAAGGAGTGGGCAGGCCCAGCGCTGTGGCACTGGTGCCGAGCCGCAAAACACTACTGTACAACGCACGGTGGCTAGTGGAGCGGTCAAGATCCCCACAGGGTTCCATGATCATGTCTGTAAAAGTGGAACGCCCGCCACCGCTCGGTTTTGACGCTGGGTCTAGAGTCCTTTTGGGGTCTGAGATCAGCCTACAGGCTCTTCAGCGTTCGGATTTTAGGCGATGCCGACAAGCACTGAAGGCCGCTGAATACGGCAAGGTGATCTCGTTATATATGTATATATATATTTACCAGGCTACCGCCTGCAGCCGCCGACCCCCAAGGGATAGAGCCTAGCTAGCCTTAACGCCTTAACCTTAGCCCAGCCTTAGCCTGAAACGGTGCCTTAGCCTTAGACCGCCCCTACCTGTCTGGACCCGGGTAGGAGTTCTCCAATTTTCTTCCATGGTTGTAGAATTATCTAGCATGTCCTCTTGCATGTAGGTTCCCTGACTTGCTCAAAAATTGATGAAGTTGTTTTTAATCCCGGCCAATGCCCTGGAATTTTCCCAGGAATGCTCTAGGCTTTGTGTAGATTTTGCGCTGGACGAGATCCGGCCAGTGCCCGCGGTAACGCGAAAGGCTCTGCATGGTAAGATTTTCGCATGCCTGTCAGGCGCCCGTGTCCGCGCCATGTGGCGCGTTGGTTCTAGGACGAAGCTGCGCAAACGGAAGCTCGGGGAGGTGATGGCGAGCTTCTCGCGCCAGCCAGGGAAGAGACCGTAGCCATGTACACGCGGGCGACACGCGCGCGTGGCCGAATGTCTGCAGTGCGGTAGGCGGGACGGGAGGGAGGGACGGAAGGGTGTGGAAGCGGGTGGTTCCACGGTAGGAGGAAGGACGTTGCCGTGGATGTGGGGAGGGTAGGATTTCCTGGAGCACCCCTTGAGCCAAATGCAGGAGTTGAGAAGAGCCCCTGTCACCCAAGTTGTCGGGTGAGAGGCAGCCGGTGTTTGTGTTGTGCGTTTCCTGCGGGAGAAGTGTGCTGCCCATGGTGTTTGCTAGGTCGCGTCAGCCAGCGGGGGCGTTGCCCATGTATGTCCCCTTATGCAGGCCTGTCTGTGTGTGTTTAGGTGATGTGACAGTCCCCGGACTGTCTCTGTTTTTTCACGAGAATCCTGTCGTTGTCGAAGGGGCGCCGTGTTGTTCTTTTAGGTTACACGTCCGTGCCCCTGGACATCATAGTTTTTTTGAAACCACTATAGGTTGTTCACATGTCATGGTAGCACCCGCTTCGCAGTCTGTGGGCGGTCGTCTGTTTCCCCTAGCGAGGTCCATCGATGTCCCCCCGTGCAGGTACTATCTATCCGGCCAAGCCGCAGAAGCAGGCGACGCAGGACGCGTAGTGTGCTGCGTGCCGTGGCGGAGCAGGGCGCTGCCCATGGTGTAGGGTATTGTTGTGTTGACGGCGCAAAGCAAGAACATGGGTGAGCAATTTTCAGGGCCAAGCCGGGAACCCCAAACAACCTTTAACATCATAACGGCCATGCTTGTGTTTCGGGTTCCCTCGCTCTCACAAAAACATGCCAATGCATTTGCCGTGCTCGGTTCTGTGTACTTTGGGAGCCCGGGGAGTGAAGATGTTGCCCCCCCCCTGGCCAGGGATCAAAACCGGATCCCGCAAAGGAGGTCGGGGACCCAGGATGTAGGAAAGCTCTAGGCTTTGTTTATTCGGCAGGGTGCTTGTGCTGCTTGTAACCACCACGGGTAGGTTTCGTGGCAAAGCTTCGCGGGAGAAGGGCGCTGCCCATGGTGTTCCCCCGCGCAGTCCATGGAAACTAGTCCATGGAAACCTGCTCGGTCTAGTTGTCGTAGGCGGAGGACGCCGGCGCGCAGTGTTTTGGCAGGCTGGCGGAAGCCGACGGCTGCCGGAGCAGGACGAGGCGCGCAAGGGGGTCGCTTACCGCCCCGGTCGGGCGCGTGGTGTGCTCGGAGCAGGGCGCTGCCCATGGTATACAGTAAACGCAACCAGCGAAAGAGCGCACGGTGCGCCGCGACCATCCCGGGAGTCGAGCCTAGGATGATTTTGGACCATGCGGCTTTCCTGTGAATAGCCACTATTGGCTTCAAGGATAAGGTTTGATTTCCTGTGAATAGCCACTGTTGGCTTGAAGGACAAGATTTTACTAGCCACCTTTGGCCCGCTGGGCTGAGGTCGGACGCTGGCTGCTGGCTGATGGATACTCCAGCGCGGCCGAGAAGACTGCGCAGGCGTGGCGGGTCCCCGGTGGGGCGCGCAAACGAAGGAGAAAGCATGCTAGACACTGTGCGCAAACTCGCCAGCTGAGCGCGTACATGGTTGTTTTTTTTTTGGGGGGGGGGAGGGTCTGTGGGGGATTCGTCGATGTCCGGTGATAGCGACTGCGCACCGGCAAGGAAATATCTGTGTGGGTGAACGAGACTACGGAGGCAAAAAAGGCAGATAACGTAGAGACAGCTAGTGCGTCCACGCGGTGGACACACGTTGCAGCACGCGTGGCTCCCAGTGTGGAGAGGAACAGAGCAAAACGGCCTTCTCCAGGCTCTCAGCCAAGACATTCAGTCATACAGAGAAGAGGATGTGTGACGAATGCCACGCCATGGAGCCGCTCTTTCGTTGCACCCAGTGTGGAGAGGAAAAGAGCAAAGTGGCCTTCTCCAGGCTCTCAGCCAAGACATTCCGTCATACAGAGAGGAGGAAGTGTGACGAATGCCATGCCAAAGAGCCACCATCGGATGTCATCTCTTGCATGAACCCCGTGATGCGGAGCCCTCCTCCCCATCATTGCCCAAAAATTTGGACCCAACCCTTCACCACCAAAGCAGGTACCCAAAAAGTCGACTTTTTGGGTACCTCCCAGGTTTACCATCAGACGTCATCTCTTGCATGAACCCCGTAATGCTGACTTTTTGGGTACCTCCCGATTTACCATCGGACGTCAGCTCTTGCATGAACCCCGTGACGCGTTGGGTTCTGCGGCCTGTGGGGCCGCAGGGCGCTGCCCACGGTCTAGGGTACATTCAAGTGCCACAAGTGTCGGCGCCCGGACTTGTGCTGAATCGATCGGTTTCTCCCGGCGACCCAACCCATTACCACCAAAGCAGGTACCTAAAAAGTCGACTCGGCGCCCGGACTTGTGCTGAATCGATCGGTTTCTCCCGGTGACCCAACCCATCACCACCAAAGCAGGTGGCCAAAAAGTCGACTTTTTGATTACCTCCCAGATTTACCATCGGACGTCATCGCTTGCATGAACCCCGTGATGCTGAACCCTTCTCCCCATAAAGGATATCATTGCCTGAGAGTTCAGACCCATCACCACCACAGCAGGTACCCCAAAAGTCGACTTTTTGGGTACCTCCCAGATTTACCATACGTGATCTCTTGCATGAACCCCGTGGTGATGATGATGCGTTCCTCACCGACGAGTCCGCGTCTATATCCTGCTGTCCAGGCACACTCTATCGCCGAGGACACCTCGCAGGCCAAACTGCAAAGGTGGGTTCCACGATACAGGACTGTCTCTGTTTTTTCAAAAGTCGACTTTTTGGGTACCTCCCAGGTTTACCATCGGACGTCATCTCTTGCATGAACCCCGTAATGCTGAACCCTCGTCCCCATTAAGGATATCAGTACTCCAACAGTTGAGACCCAACCCAGCACCACCAAAGCAGGTACCCAAAAAGTCGACTTTTTGGGTACCTCCCAGATTTACCATCGGACGTCAGCTCTTGCATGAACCCCGTGACGCGTTGGGTTCTGCGGCCTGTGGGGCCGCAGGGCGCTGCCCATGGTCTAGGGTACATTCAAATGCCACACGTATCGGCGCCCGGACTTGTGCTGAATCGATCGGTTTCTCCCGGCGACCCAACCCATTACCACCAAGGCAGGTACCGCACCCGGACTTGTGCTGAATCGATCGGTTTCTCCCGGTGACCCAACCCATCACCACCAAAGCAGGTAGCCAAAACGTCGACTTTTTGATTACCTCCCAGATTTACCATCGGACGTCATCTCTTGCATGAACCCCGTGATGCTGAACCCTTCACCCCATAAAAGATATCATTGCCCAAGAGTTGAGACCCATCACCACCAAAGCAGGTACCCAAAAAGTCGACTTTTTGGGTACCTCCCAGATTTACCATACGTGATCTCTTGCATGAACCCCGTGGTGATGATGATGCGTTCCTCACCGACGAGTCCGCGTCTATGTCCTGCTGTCCAGGCACACTCTATCGCCGAGGACCCCTCGCAGGCCAAACTGCAAAGGTGGGTTCCACGATAGAGGACTGTCTCTTTTTTTTCACGATAGTCCTGTCGTTGTCTAAGGGGCCCCGTGTGTGGCCGGGAACACTGGCATAATAGCCAAAGGTTAACAATTTTTGGTGCAAATCTGGGAACCTAAGTCAGGAGGACATGCAGGAAAATTTTTGGAAAAGCACCCTCCCGAATAAACAAAGCCTAGAGCATTCCTAGCATCTAGTCGAAAACGTAACAAAATCTAAGTGCGGCCAAGAGTATTCCTAGGAAAAATCAAGGGCATTGGCCGGGAACACTGGCATAAAATAGGTTAGCCAAAGGTTAACAATTTTGGGGGGAAATCTGGGAACCTAAAGACAAGAGGAAGCGCCAGAAAATTCTGGCAAAAGCATCCAACCGAAAACGTAACAACATCTGGACAAAGCCTAGAGCATTCCTAGGAAAATATTGGAAAAGCCTTTGAAAGTTCCATAGGTTAGCAAAAGGTTACCAATTTTTGGGGGAAATCTGGGAACCTAAAAACAAGAGTCAGCGCTAGAAAATTCTAGGAAAAGCATCCAGCCGAAAACAGAACAAAATCCAGACAAAGCCTAGAGCATTCCTAGGAAAATGCTAGATGCAAGCGATGCGCTAGAAAATTCTTGGAAAAGCATCCAGCGAAAACATAACAAAATCTAGACAAAGCCTAGAGCATTCCTAGGAAAATGCTAGAAAAGTCTTTGAACATCCCATAAATCCAACAGAAAACGTCACAAAATCTACGAAAAAGCAAGGGCACTGGCCGGGACCACGCCGCGACCAGCCCGGGATTCGAGCCCAGGACCATTTTGGACCGTGCTTATTTTCCCGCGCGGGTGGAGAGGGTGTCCCAAGATGTAAATCAATTGGGATGGCAGAATCTTGGACAATCCAGGGTACCATCACGTCGTAATCTCGTCAATTCCGGTCGTAGTCACGTGGCAATCACGTCAAATCACGTAGCTATCACGTCGCTTTTGGGTCGAGATTCGTCACTGCAACAAAGGTCCGGAGGGGTAGGGGAGGTAAGGTCTAAGGCTAAAGCTACGTCCAAGTCTGAGTCTAAGGCTAAGGCTGGCTAAGGCTAAGGCCTAGTGCTAAGGCTAAGGCTTAAGCCTACGGCTAACATCGACAGTCACGCCTTACCCCACGGTGTGGGGTCGGCGGATTCACATATCTCAATTCTCTCGGGAAGTTACTATCATGCCCTAAAAGACCACACGCACTCCAACAAGAGCATGGGAGATTGTTCTATATTGTGCCACGGAAGATTTTGGGCATCCCAGATTGGTGGCCCAGGCTGGACCAGACTTTGAGAAAAAGGAGAAGATCTTAAAGAAGGTGCCTTGATGGGAGTCGCGCGACGAAACCAGAAACAGCCCACCCGTGTTCCATTTTCATTTGCGTGTCCTCCATTGGCTTGGATGGGCAAGAAGCCAGACCTCAAGCATGGCTGCAGCTTACCTGTTCAGACAAGAACAGTGCAGCATAATCTTTCGGGATACCTTGGCCTGAAGAAGTTGCAGGCAAAATGGATTGACACAGGAAGCAAAGCCCTGTACCAGTCTTCTTTATAGTTACTTAGAACCTGTTCTGCAATTCACGTTGTTTAGTCGTTGGCCCACTGAGATTCCGCATGGGCCTAGGTGAACAGGGAAGGGGAAGTGATCATTGTTGCCTTTATCTCTCCACTGGTGGAACCATTCACAACCCATTTAGATGTCCTTCTTGTGTCATTGCAGTCTCTTCAATCCACTGGAGGTTGGATCATTCTGGGTGACGCTTGTCGATGAATGTATCCTGAGGCCTACAAGGAGGGAGGTGGCGCTGGGATCTGAGTGTCGCTGGCCATCAGAGCCTCAAGTTTATCCAACGATCAACGAGCGTTTGGCCAATGTTGGGCAACGGTTGAAGCAACCACACACCCATCATGATGCTGTCAGGGAGTGCAAGAGCGTAGCTTCAAAACATGTCGCTGCATTCAAGAAGGGTGATCCGGGGCAGTTGATCCAGCAATGTTGTCGGTAATCTTTTTTTGAAAGACTCAAAGGGGTATGAATCAGTATGACTCATTGTAAATGTGACACCCTTTTGATGTGTTCCTCGCTCCAAGGCCGCGAAGGACAGAAAGAAGGACGCAGGGCCTTGCTGGGAAGGGTTTGGGTGTCTCCGGGCGGAGTTCGGTGGAATCTGGAGGAGCTAGGCAGCTAGGCTTGCCATGAGTGTATGAGTTGGGATGATCGTTGTCACGATGCTTCACCAGTCAAGGCTTGCTTGGTAGTCCACCAACCAGGTTGCCAGGATGTTCCTTCTCCTGTATCTGAGTTGACCTTTTGATGGGAGTATCCATGATTTGGATACTGCTGTTGATAATCCATTGGACTCTGTTCCTTCTTCTCCATCCGTCCGAGTTGACTTCTGACTCGGATCCAATGGGTCATTGGGGCGAGCCGTGGGCCAAGGAAGGCCCGGGACTGCCCCTTGAACAAAAAGCCACGTGGTGAAGGTTCTGATCCACAAAAAGCACCCGGAACCTGACTAGCCTAACTTGTCAGGCTCATCATAGCCATCAGCACCCAAAGAGTATCAGCTCTGAAGAGCTTGGACACAAAAGTGCTCACCAATTTTGGCCCAAAGCGCCAGGAGAAGGAGAAGGATAGAGATAGGGACAGATCTCGGGAAAGAGACCGGGACAAGTCCCGTGAACGCGACCGGGAGAAATCGAAGTCGAGACCGGAGAGAGACCGCGACCGGCTGAAAGATCGGGATAGAGACAGGGACAGGGGTAGGGATCGGGAAAAAGAGAGGGAAAGAGAAAGAGACAGAGAAGCTTGTCTGCAGGTTCATTTTTTTCATGAAACCCCACGCCGGGTTCAGCTTTTGGACATGAAACTTGCCACTTGCATACACTTGCTGGCCCTGACCAAATCAACGGGCTGAATTTCTGAAGCACGCTTGAACATGTGATTAATCATGGATTTTGATTTCCGTGTTCCAGTGTTCCATTACATTATATAGATCATCTCAGGAGGAATGAGCAGGATAGTCGTAGCAAAGTAGCTAAAGGATCAAGTCAGACAGTCAGACATCAAGAAGCAATTTTTGGCTGCACTTGATATTCACACGTTCATCTATTACAAAACGCCTTTGCAGCAGGTTGTCCTAATTTCTTACACCCAGAATGGTCATTTCTTAGCCAAGGATTTCAACGGTGATAGAGCTCGAGTACGGACAGAAGAAGAGATTGAAAGGCAAAAGAGGCCCGGGCAGTGCATGTTCAACGCTCATCAGCGGTTGCCTTGACGGAGCTAGAGTACTTCGTGCCTTGCACGAGCCTCGTAGACGTTCGTTTGATAAAGCCCATTGTAAAAGCATTCTAGTCTAGTAGGGTGGTTTTATTGATCAACCGTCTATATGAGACCTTGCGGTATTGTCAAGGGGTTGGACAACAGCTAGTTTCCTCAAAAATCTAGGAACCAAACCATTAGTGCGAGCGCTTCTTCAAGGAAGCTCCCCCTGACGCCTGGGAGAGCTTCCTTGAAGAAGCGTGAGCTATCCTGCGTCCAGTTACTAGAAGCGTCGTACTTAACAGCTACTAGATGCTAGCTAAAGTCCCCCCGGCCAAAAAAGAACTGATCTCTACATATCTCTACAACTGCTAAATTCAGAGGCAAAAGGAGGAGATGCGCCGAGCTGATCGTGAACGTGTCCTAGATCCTTGAATGCAAGCCTCGGATCTTCTCATTGCCTTTTTTGTCCCAAAACAGATCATAAGGGCTTGGTGGCGAATGCATCAACATAGTTTGCTGGCTTGAAATCCTGGGCATTGGAATTTCTGAACGACATTTCATGAATCCTCAATTTGTATCAATTTGGCATCATTTAGAAGCCGGCTGAGGGCTTGGTATGATGGTAAGGCGATATTCAATTTCGCTTGACGAGCAACCTACACCACACCCCTCCTGTGTCTTGCGCTCCTGCCTTTGTGGAGGGAAGAAGAGTGGTTCGACTACGACACGATCTTTCTAGGAACAAGAAGCTACGCATCGCTACTAGGAGCAAGGACGCTACTAGTGGCTCCTGGCCGTACTACTAGGAGCAAGGGCGCTACTAGTAACAAGAAGCGATGAAACGAGTCGGATGAGGATATCGAGCCAGCGAGTGAATACGGCATACGGCATACGCCACCCACAAAAAAAACTGGAGCGGAATCGTCACCCCCTCCCTAGACTCGACAAGCCTAGTGCTTAGTGCCCTCCTTTCTGGCAAGGAATGCTCCGTGCCTTAGGAAATGGAGCATGAACGTGAGAAGGAGCGGGAGAAGGAACTGGAAAGGCGGAGAGAGGCCAGAGAAAGCCTTGCGAAAGCACAATCCTAAAGCGTGAAGACGGACAACCGTGTTTGTTTTCAAGAGGGATGTCTACAGACCATGTTTGAAGGCATCCTTCCCATGATGGATCCTCCATTGCTGGCAACCAAAGGAAAATAAAGGAAAATCCCTAGGACAACTTTGCTCCATGTTCAGGATATTTTTTCAAGCTTCAAGAGCTGTCTTTCGCAGCAGACAAGCCACTGTTGTTTCTGGCTTGTTGTGGCAGGCCAAGAAGCAAATGGAAAGGGAAAAAGAAGAGCGGAAAAAGGAGTCAGGGGCTTAGTGCCAGGGACCGTCATGCGCCGCCTGCGCTGGTAGATAGATTCTCATCCAGGCTTAAGCTAATTCGCAAGCCTGCAAGGCCTGTCACAACCAGAAATGCATTTCGATATCTGCTTTCTATGTGGAGAAGGCTTCCGAGCGTGTTGAGGAAGAAGGCCAAAAAGAAGGAGAAGAAGAACAGAAAGGTGGGACGTCTGTCTGTCTGAGCAATCTTTTTCGTCTCATCACGAGGGCAACCTATCCAGGCTAAACATGCTAATTAGCTATAACAAGCAACTCAAACCTACCTTTTCCTACTCTTCATTGAATTCAAACTACACACCTTTGATTGATACCTACCTGTTTGACATGTTGTTTACAGTTCAAGCGGTTCAAGGGGAGAGTCCACACTGCTTTCCGCGACATTTGTTTGTTTTAGTTTTGGCAGTTGTTTTTGTAGTTTTGGCTGGTTGTGGGGTAGTGTGGTGCTGCCATCGAAGGCTAGAATGTTTTTGAAGTGGTGCAACAAAATTGGAACACAAGGTGCTAGAAAAAGCTGTATCTTGTCCTTGGTGCAAAGACGTAAGTATTTCTTCAGTTTTTTGTAGTATTGGGGAGTTTTTAGCAGTTTGCAGTTGGACCACGATGTGTCTTACGCCACGGTAACAATTTACGTCTTGTTTGCAATGCCCGAGAGGGTGGTGGTTCATTAGTACTTGATCCAGTGCTGTTGCGCTGCAGACCGCCCTCTTTGAGTTGAATACGCATCAGATGGAGCACATCCATCCACACTCTGCCCATCTATGACCTACCTATGCATCTATGACATACCCAAATCTATCCAAAAGTACCTACATCGAGTTATCTCATCCAGGGCCCCTCGTCTCTGTGTTTCTCGAAGGAGGGTGTCCAGCTCAGCAGCTCCAGCAGCGACGGCGGCGTCCAACTCACGGGCCTCGTGGGCGCCAAGCCGGCAGCGCCGGAGGCGGCCGAGAAGGCATCCGCGCCTGGACCAGTGGGATCCTGTGGCCTTTGGCGTTTTGATTCTTTCCTGACTGAACAGTGATTCTGTTCTACCGGGCACTGGATGAGCTCCTCTAGTTTCCCTTCTGCCAGGTGCTGGTCTCTGCTTGGGACAAGCGCACATTGAACATCATGGAAGAATGGAGGGTGGGGTAAATAATTACAGTAGTTTGTCATGTGGCTTCACACACCGTATAGTTAGACTTGGAATTGGACATGTGTTCTTTGGCTTCAGTCCGTGTTTCGTCACTCAAGTTCAAGGATGGCTTTGGAACTCAAAATGGACTCGCCAAGGTTCTGAAGAAATGTGCTAAGCTGCTACTGCGTCTCTATGCCAATGTCAGGATGAAAACATGCACTGTGCCATGGGCATTCAAGAAACTCACATGTAGCGCAGTGGCAAAATGGCAAACGGGTACTCAGTGCGCATACGGACTCTTTTCTGTAGTCGGTCGTTGCAATATTTGTGCGACACCTGATCCAAGCATACCAAGCGAAGAGGTCATCCGCAGTGTTTCTTACGTTTTGTACCACGCTGATTTGGGTTGTGCAGATCAACACGATTTGGTAATTTGGTGAGCCAGATCTTGACGGTCTCAGAGCCAAGCCTGACAGCTTGGTTGGCAACGTCATAAACCAGCCATCAAGCGGCGGCGTGCCCGACAGTTTGGGAATTTGGTTTCTCATAGACTCTTTGGACTTTAGACTCTTGAATGGTTTGATATACTACATAGTGACTCTCGTGACGATACTTGGTTTTGAGCACAAAGGGGCAGCCTCCAACCCTGGAGGCAGTGTCGTTGGATTTGGATGTGGATGTACCCAAGACGGTCGACCTGGACATAGCGCCTTGCCACTATTGCGTCATTGTTCTTGTGAGATCAGTATAGAGTTAGTATGAGTTAGTATTTTCATGTATTTCTCTCAGTCAGACCTTGAACGCCGAGTGCTGTCTGCTGGTGATTCTCAGTAACGTACAGTATATTGTGAAATACATCTGACCAAGCATTGCAGAGTTTATTTAATATTGACGTGCATAGAGACTTTTGCACCACAAACCTGGACTTGACCACTTGGTTCCTGTTGCACAGCTGGACGGTGCATGGCAGCATATTTGTGAGGACGGCGCAATCGAGCTCGACGCAGAGCCGAAGCCGAAGCCGAAGCCGGTAAGGTCTAATAGCGTGGCGGAGGCCTGGTTGAGGGGAGTCGTTTCGTGGGAAAGTTAGGGGATGGTTGGGAGTTTTCATTACGCAGAAACATTTTTAGTATTTAGCGACATCGAGCTAAGCGGATTTGCCCTTAAAAACAAGAACACCTAGAAAACCAAACGAGGAAACCACACTTCTTCATTAATTGTTGTATGGATTAACTATACATTTCTATTATGTCAATTTATTATTCTACTATATTCTACTAAATATTGATATATGTTGTTGGAAAGATCTACTAAATTAGCACTTCATCTGTGAATTATTAATGTATGGATGTAAGCTATGTATATGTGCAATATTATATGCAGCAGAAGATTATACAACTGGAATGCTGCTTATTATTGGATGCACCGATTACGATTATATTATGTATATTTCACCTATATCATTTAGCAGTTAAGTTATGCATTTACAAACATTCGTGGATCTATGCTATTTTAGTACAACAAGTACTGGATCATGGTGCTTTATTATCAGTATTAATGGACAATTAGAAAACACGTTGACTTTCGCTTGAGGGCAGTTTTCGGGGTTTCGTGGTTTTAGCATTTTTGTGGTGTTCGCGGTTATCGCGTTTAATGGTTATCGCGTTTTGTGGTTTTCGCCGTTTTCCCAATTTTCGGGTTTTCTCAGTTTTCGCGTGTTCGTGGTTTTCGCCGTTATCTCGGTTTTGGTTGTTTCGCGTTTTCAAGGTTTTGATCGTTTTCGCACTCCGAATTCACGCAGTGCATCAAATCAGAATATTGTGCAGAGGGCATGTATCGTGACAGATTCAACTTAGCTCCAAGTTGTATTGTGTACATTTTGCATGGAAATGGTTCAGAACCAAGAAGGCCTTCTTAGAACTTAGAACCATGATAATTATACACTTGGGAGCACTTAGATCCAAAGGAGACAGGACTTCTGGACTTTTTCCAACTGGGGTCTTTTGTTCACCAGTTGTAGGGTACTTGATTTTTGGCACATACGGGTTTGTATTGAAGCGGTGGGCATATACTTATGAACCTGTCTACTGTCTAGAGGGTTTGAACTAGTTCTAAGTAAATTGTTCTAAGTATGGCCACCCCTCATTGTTCAAAGTGTTTGGTCTGGTGCATTCAGGAAAACAAGTAGGTTCATGTAGGTTCCAAGCATCAGGTCGTCACTGTACATTCTGGAAAGCTTTGACTTTGACCACTCCAGCCCAGGCATTGTCCAAAAACTCTTCACTAGATAGGGAGCACAGCCCTTGATTCTAGCATTAGACAGTTTTTTGTGTTTCAAACCACTGGATCCGCTGGGGGCTGCTTTGCGTTTTGATGCTTCTTTCTATGTTGCGGGGTCCGCTTGTTTGTGATACGCAACATCATTTTGCCTGGCAAAGCCCCTCCTCCGATGTCATCGAAACCTGCCACTCTCATGGTCCGTTTTCGCGTGAAAAAACGCCGGATCCCTGAACATCCGCTTAAGCGGACGGCACGAACAAAAACATTGTACAGTTTCATTCAGTGTTGCGTGGCTTTTCAGCTGCGAGGTTTTGTTTTGAATTGATAAGCCGCCGGAATGATTGCACATCAGCTGGAAAAGTTAAAAGGGGCTCATACTATCTCATACTATCATAGAACATCATAGAACATCGCAATCTGTTGCACATTCGTTCAGGGCGCAATGCGATATTCAGGGACCCCATTTGCAAGCGAAGGTGAAGCTGAGTCCTGTTTCTTTATCAAGGATTAGCTCATGAATTGAGGACCATAGTCATGAAATCTTTTGGTACACCAGATTTCTTGCTTTGCCCTATATAAGTGAATCTGATGCTCTGCAACCCTCTGCGAATATCCGTGAAAAGACCAATAAGATGCTCGAAGCTGCTTCGTGTCTTTTTATGTCTTTTTCATGCTTTTGTCCAGCAGCGTGTTGCGGCAATTTGTGCAAACTACCCCTGTTGAGAGCCAGATAGCATTGGAAGATGGTTGCTTCATTTTCCTAGC